TTACTGAAATAAAACTACTACTCGGATCAACGGATAGTCTGTTAATACACTTTAAACGTAAGTGGCCACCGCGATCTTGCTTTCGGTGACCATTTACGTCCAATGTCTATTGAAATACTGTGTTTGGTTTGTGGCTGGCACTCAAACGAACTATGAACTCTCACACATACAAACAAAAATTACACCACTACATATTCTACCTGGTGATTGGAGTAATATTTATTCCCAAATGGAAACAACACCCCCCCCCCCAATCGGCATTCTACTGTTGCCCTAGGAATAGACTGTCTGTTGGGAAAAAAATGACCAGAAGGCAAAACTGAGATGGTTGCTGTCAGTGAGTATGCCGGATTTCCACTGGGTGACATGTTTGGCAATTAATGTAATTGACCGAATATTGAACACATCCATGTACAATAGCTGACTCACGCCTTGCCACTTTGAAAAGTACAATGGCGTCATGACTGACTGCAAATTTTAAACAAAATGTGTTTGTGTCTCAGAGATAACTATTCAACATGCAAATTTTGTTATGACGTACACAAATTTAAATGCGATTGCGATTACAATATCACATCTGCACCAATCTCGGGTGTTCCATTCATGAATGCAGTTTTAGGGGACATTTTTACTTGAATTGAAATATCGCCGTACCTATTCCACGAAATCATAACTTCTCTAATTTGTGCAAGTTTTATACGTCTTATATCAGTCAGGTCAAAGGCTAAATGAATATAATAAACAGCCAATTGCAATAGAGTAGCCAAAGTGTTAAAAATAATATTTTAATATGAATGCGATAAATTATAATATATATATGAAACCTAGATGAGAGCCTTTGGAGTGAAAGAGATAACTAATATTATGGTTTAATCCGCATGCTTGATACATTGAACGATACTTTATTGGAAGCACAGCTGGAGTTAATCACTTTAGGGCAAACTCCAAGATAATTAAAATCTTTTATAAAACGAAATACAGAAAACAAAGACTGGCTTTTACAAAAAGTGTTGATGTCAGAAGAGAATCTAACATGTGGGTGTAAACACACATAAATATTTTCTCATCGTACAATAAATGAAACGAATACTGAAATAATCGAACAAAAACGCTCGGTCTGTCCCGAGATCGGCACACAAATTATTTACCACATGCATGCAAAATTAACAACAAGTACAATATAAACTTATCAACACGCAGTAATATTAATGCAAAGGAATGATATTTTGTGTTGTTGTCCGTGACTTCCAAATCTTCACTACACTACTAACTGTAGATTTGGTTGTAAGGTGAATGTTTGGAAGTTAGTGCAAAACTAAAGACATTGTTAACTCACAATTAATCTACTGTTAAGATCATAGTCAGTGTCAATTTGGCAAAATATTAATAATGAGTTATTGTATTTCCCGGTGGCAGATTATTTACTTTTTCGGACAAATATACAATTTAAATACGAATAAATAAGTTTGTGAAATTGTGTATTTTATTACAAAACTGTTTTATATTATTTAAAAAAATGACTTATAGAAGTAGGAAGATGGGCTAGCCTCGGATTCGTAACCCAACTTCAGATTATAAGTTAGTTTATTTGTGTATATTAATCTTGGTTTGTCCCGAAATCGACACATTAGAACAGAGAGTATTTACCACATATATGTAATATATTAATTACAAGTAGAATGTAAACTTGTGAACACGCAGTAATATTAATGCAATACCTGTGTTATGTGGTTGTCCGTGACCTCCAAATCTTCACTCACTGAAGTAGATTTGGTTGTGTGGTGAATGGATGGGAGTTAATATATGAGTACAAAACGAACGTGTCACCGCTTTCGACACGTGTTGCCTAGTAACAGCAGCAGCATATAACCGCTGCGATTCTGCAGTAAACTGAGAGCGCCACGGACGTCGGGATAGCAACGGAATCAATGGCTCAAAAGACTTAAACTGTTCGCGCCAGTGTATAAACTGTGTTAATTTATGCTTATTCACTTAATTTATTTTAAGACGATTATCCTGTTATTTCAAAATATGAACTGTTACAATGTATCCCACGGTAACTGTACACGAATACTCCACAGACGAAACATTTGTAATTACAGGCTTGATTATAGCTGGCAAGCTCGTATTATTTTAACTAATTATTGTGTTTTATGTACTACTTATACCATGGCAGAGAGAATTTGTATACTAGTATATTCTGATTTATTTGTGCATAATAAATAATATACTTCCATTGATCTATGAACTGATGAGATTCACCGTGTTTGTTTTGCTACATGTGAAGCGCAGTACCTCTAAGTGATGCACACACTATTTAATAATAACACATCTCTGTGAAGGCCAATGGCACGATTTGTTGTCAGCTCAAGATATAGCGGTTAATAACCATGATATTGGCGGTCGAAGGCGAGTCGAAGGCAATAGCAGACGACAAATCGTGACGGTGCTCGAATGAGTCTGTGTTGTTTATTTCATCTCATCACGTCGCACGGAAATCGAGCACGTACAATTACATATAACATGCAATAGTTGCTCATACTACAGCAATTCCAGGCACTGATTTGACGCTGAAGTAATGCTAGATATAGATAACATTCTACCACAGGGAGTTGGACAAACTTAATAATAACAAAAATAATAAAATGTTATATAACTTTTCTTTTACCCACCTTCCTGGTATCGATTTCAAGTAATCACTGATCTTTGTTTATAGCATACTTTCCTTTATCACAATCTTCGTTACGCGCTAATGTTATATTGAAATTTTAACGCGCGATGTAGACACACCCTATTATAGTAAAATATTCCAAGGGTTGAAACTGCGCCCCTCTCACTGAAATAACATGTGACGCAAACTGAAGTAGGAAACTAAGTTGAGAGCCTCGACTGTTTATTGGAGGAGAAATTCAGAACTAATGTACCACCACTTGGGCTTAGACTTATTACGAAACGACCCCAAAACGAGCCAAACGAGCCAAACAACCCAAAAACGACCCAAAAACTACTCAAACGACCAAAAAACGAACCAAAATGACAACAACAGATCGTCAAACTGTCCAATTACCGCGATATTATTGCAACAGCCATTTTAATGAGCACATCGACCGATGAGGGCGCTGTTCTCATCTGGATTCTCGCTGTCCAGAATTACGGAATAAAAAAAATACACAGAATAATTAATAATAAAAAATAAATAAATAAACAAGCAAGCAAATAGATAAATAAATAAATAAACAAGTAAATCAATAAAAAGCACCAAATTTATTATTTTTTTCAATGAATACATGTCTGGCGTCGTCGCAACATAGAATGTTTGTGACATACCTCAGCCCTAAGAATACGACCCTCAATGGAAGGGTCTGGAATCACAGACAGATATGCTAGTCTCAAAAATGTGCTTCAGTCTATTGATTATTGTTCTACTGATAATGTCTTTCTTTCTTATTTCTGGTATCAGAGTATCCCAGAATTCGCATAATGTCAAGCAATATATATTTAAATTTAGTGAAGCCATATGGTCATTCAAACCCAAACTCAATCAACCACCCTTCCGTATGAGGGTACAGATCACACTGCAGATTTGGTATTATAAATAAGAAAAACAATCATCAACAGAAAAAAATTATTCCATCTCTGGGTTTAGCAGTTATGCACGGAAAAGCCTGCAAAATTATTATGCAAAGTAGGTAATTAATATGCATGACTTCTGGAATTATCTGAAATTAACAATCCGGTATTCCTCGGCGTTCTGTGATTCTGTGTGATTTCTACTCACTGGCGGATCCCGAAATTCGGTGAGGAGGGAGGGCGCTCTTATTGACCTGGCCGAAGGTGGGCTGGGTTTGTCAATTCATTTGTCATTTGTTTGCGGGCTGAAGGGGGGATGACGCCTTGCGCGACTCCCCCTAACTCCGCGAGGGCTACTAATAAGATTTCGTAATCGTGGTAAACCCTATATCAAATGAATATACGCTGTGTGCATAATCCTATGTCCGGCCATGTGCTTACTTACTTGTATTGTCGCCGAGGACCCAACAAAACAAAACGCATAAAGGAACGTCAACAAGGATGAAATTATGGTAGGGTAACATTGCTCGTTGTAATCGAAGAAACGAAACGAGATGAAATAAAACGAAACGAAACGATACACAGAAAGACAATTAAACTGTAATCAGAGAAAATGGGTTTTAAATGCAAAATATTTACAAAATATTTGCCGAAAATGACAATATTTTAATCAGTAAATGGTTCGTGTCGCTTACAGATAATCGGGATTTTGTAATTAGGGAAACAAGGGTTCTAGACGTACAATATTCACAACTGTCGGACGAAATCCGGCCAGTATATTCACCTTTCAGTCGTGCATATAACGACATAAAAAAATTTGCCGAACATTTTCCGATTATCTGTAAGCGTTGACCTTATATACAACAAAAAGTTCACAAAAGGTGTGATCATTCAGGCCATCTTAATCAACATTGTAATTAATAATGTCTCTTAATTTGAAACCGTAAAAATTGGCATTCCCAGCTCAGCAGCCAATCAGCGATGGCCTGACGCTTAGATGACAATTTCGGTTTCAAATACCCCGGCTTAGTGTTCTAGGTTCTTCGCGTAATTAGGTGTTCGTATGCAAGGGATTTTTCCACACAAAAACAACGAATTCGGCTGAATTTTGTTATCGGTTGGCTTAATATAACTCCAACGGACCGTATTTTTGAGAAAGATTGGTATTTTTGTCCTGATTTGTAGGAATCTGAAAAACGCGCTTCACAACTTGTCTCTTATTTAGTTTTATGCGTCATTCAAGATGGCGGCCCCCATATAGTAAATATCGTATTTATTTTATTATCATGTGTGCGCCAGCTGACTGTGGTCTGTATGATAATAACCAGCATTAGAAGATTTAGTTGTGACCGATGCGAATAATAAAACGTACGGATCAAAGCAAACGCACCATCGCGGAACGATTATAGCGTTGGTATTTATCTGAACTACACGAAGTCAAACGTGTCAACTCATTAGCCCGTATATTACCGTTGATTCAGAACCTTCGATGCAGTTCAAATGTAAGATTTCTTAAACATTTTGTTTTAATTACATGTCAGATGTTCATGTACGCAATTTAATTTGTTTTATTTCCACAGATAATCCAGTGTCATGATGGGAAATAAAGTGTTCGCGCTATCGCTAGTAGCTGGAATACTGGTTATATCCGTTTGTTTCAATTCACGAACAACTCAGCCATTTCAACCGCCACGTCCTGCAAGGGTTCATAATGATGAAACTGGAAGTAATGAAAGAAAAGTTGTCAAATCTGACAAGAGAAATAGTGGCTTAGCCTACGAACGTGGTAAGTTTGAATCCAATTATGCATGACAGTCGGAATTCATTGGTATAAAGATGCTGTTACGCAAACAAACACGCTCCTATATATATATATATA